GTAATGAGGACGCCATGTTTCTGATAAGAGACGTGCCTAGAGCAGGAGTTCTCAAACTGTAAACGTGTGTCCGAATCACTGAGGCTCCCCTATTAAAGCACACTGGGCTGCAGTGTCTCCCATTCAGTGGGTCCAGGGCTGGGCCTCAGAATCTGCATTTTGACAAGTTTCTGCATGCTGCTGCTGGCTGGGACCACACGTTGCCTTAGAAGGTGCCTACCAGAGGCTTAACTGGGTACCCGCTTTGACTGTTCAGAAGGGGCATGCCATGAACTTTAGCATTCACTGTTTCAACACTGATCAAAAACCAGGCCCCACACAACTGAAGACGTTTTCATTAAAATTGAACCTTAGGCTTGCATCCAACCCAAGTAAGCATTTCATTTCCTAAAGTTATTTTTTTAATCCTTGCAAATAATTTTTTTAAGAACAAAAACTCAAAGACAATTTTTTCAAAGTGTGAACTTAGTCTTTGAAGTGCAAGAATGACTTTTATTTGAGGAAAAGTGGTGAAACCCCATCTCTACTAAAAATACAAAAATTAGCTGGGCGTGGTAGCACGTGCCTGTAGTCCCACATACTCAGAAGGCTGAGGCAGGAGAATCACTTGAACCCGGGAAGCAGAGGTTGCAAGAAATCAAACTAAGCCTAAGCAATAATCAACTTCACAATAATTTAGAGTAGAGAGCAGAGAAAATCAAAACACTAAAAACACAAAATAGGACACCACGATTACTGATGATACAGCTGGACTTGCAGAGATAACTCATACTGAAGAAATGGCATGTAATTCAAGTCTAGGTTGAAGGGTAAAAGGACATTCTAGAAATATTCTCTAGGAATCCAAATATTAGCAAAGTCCTTTTTTTTTTTTTTTTTTGAGACAGAGTCTCACTCTGTCGCCAGGCTGGAGTGCAGTGGCGCGATCTCGGCTCACTGCAACCTCCGCCTCCCGGGTTCAAGCAATTCTCCTGCCTCAGCCTCCCGAGTAGCTGGGACTACAGGCATGCGCCACCATGCCCAGCTAATTTTTGTATTTTTTTTAGTAGAGACACGGTTTCACCATGTTGGCCAGGATGGTCTCGATCTCTTGACCTTGTGATCCACCCACCTCGGCCTCCCAAGCAAAGTCCTTTTGACTAATTGCAAGAACAAAACGGTTGGACCTTCAGAGCCATGACCTTCTTCTCCTCTAGGCAAGCCCCTTAGAAAACTTCAAGTAAGAATTTTTCCATACAAACATATGTGGAAAAACAGAAAGACAGGATGACTCAGGAGTTTTTGGCAAGTTAAGGCCTAAAGACTGGGTTAGGTTAATTATGACTGATGGTAACAAAATAGCCTCTAACAGGCACAGTTGGCCTTCTGCATCCATGGGTCCAGCGATACTGGTGGCCAACTTAAGGAACTTGAGTATCCGTGGATTTTGGTATCCACGGAGGTCCTAGAGCCAACCTCGGAGGAGAGGAAGGCACAAATGACCGTATGAAGCACTGATGATGTGCTGGGCACTGTGCCAGGTGCCCTGCCTGCATTAGCTCAGGGACTGTAGTGTCCCTTGAGCGGAGATGCTACTCCTGGCCTTACTTTATAATCAGGGGTAAGACTTAGGGAGGGGAGGTAAAGTCACATTCCCACGGAACAGCCACCCAACTACAGAACCTAACGCCAACTTCAGGACTGGGAATACTGCTTGTGCTTTGACGGAATAATGAACTTCAAGATCCTTATACCGATTTTTTTTTTTGAGACAGGGTCTCGCTCTGTCATCTGGCTTGAGTGCAGTGGCATGATCATAGTTCATAATAGCCTTTACTCCCCCGTACAGATTTTACAATTATTATTATTATTGTTATTTTTGTAGAGATGGGTCTTGCTATGTTGCCAAGGCTAGTCTTGAACACCTGGCCTCAGGTGATCCTCCCTCCTCAGCCTTCAGAAGTGCTGGGATTCCAGGTGTGAACCACCATCACCAGCCCAGATTTTTTATATTCCTAGTTAAGGAGGTGGAGGCTTCTTCACACTAACTAGTGTATTAAATATATACAAAAATAGCCAGAGACAGTGGCTCACGCCTGTAATCCCAGCGCTTTGGGAGGCCAAGGCAGGCTAATCACCTGAGGTCAGGAGCAAGGTCAAGACCAGCCTGGCCAACATGGTGAAACCCTGTCTCTACTAAAAATAAAAAAATTAGCTGGCTGCGGCGGCGCGTGCCTGTAGTCCCAGCTACTTGGGAGGCTGAGGCAGGAGAATCCCTGAACCCTCTCCTGCAGTGAGCCGAGATCACACCACTGCACCCCAGCCTGGGAGACAGAGCAAGACTCCATCTTTGTGTGTGTGTGTGTGTATTAGCCAGGTTTCCAAATATACTGGAAGACATTTTTAAAGGGAGTTAAGAGAAGAGAAAGAATTTGTTAAGGTTGATGCAATTTTTATTGTCATGAATAGCAACATTACATACCAGGCATTATATGTGGTGTTTGAAGCTACCTGTATCTGTATAATGTCACAGCTAAGATGCTAGGGCTCAGGACTAGACGCCTGGCTCAAATCCTGGTTCTACATCCTATCAGTTACAGGACCTTGGGTACTCAGCATTGCCCTGCCTCCGTTTCCAGCCTGTAACATGAGATTATTTATATTACCAATCTCCAAGAGTAGTTGGGAGGACTAAAGGATTAATCCACGTAAAGCTCAGTTCAATACATTTATATTATTTATTTCTCACAACAACCACATAAAGTATTTATATTATTCTTAGAGTCTCATTCATCACATACTTTAATTTCCCCTCGGGTAATTTAGTCTCCCGGTAAGATGACACTTTTAGCAAATGCGCCAACTGCAGCCAAAAGATGGGGACAAGAAAAGATGCGAAAAAAGGGCCATGTATAGAAAAAGTCAGATTTGTATTAAAAATCAAAATTGTCTTCTTCTGACAGTTGGTAGAAGAGCCAGGAAGCAAAAAGAATAGAGGGTGGCAAAAATAAAATGCAGAAACAGATCCCATCCATATCGATGCCAATTCCCAAGTGCAGGACTTGGCACCACAGAAGGCATCCTCAGCTTTCACTGGCTCAGGCTCCTAAGTCACCAATCCAGGCGGCGTCTGGTGAATGTGGACGCTTTGCTTTCTGCTCAGCTAACTTCGGCTCTAAAAGCCCATATATAAGAACAAGGTCTAAGCTATCTCCCGCTATAGAGTTCACTTCCAATCTAGCACTCCGGACCTTCCAAGTGCCTGGCACTAAGAGATGCCTGAAGGAATCACACACTAGGTGGCGTGCTCAACTCCGTGGTGTGGAACTGGTTTTTCTCTGTCACTCGCTTAAAAAATTGTTTTTTGTTGTTTTGTTTTTGAGATAGAGTCTTGCTCTGTCACCCAGGCTGGAGTGCAGTGGTGGGATCTCGGCTCACCGCAATCTTCACCTCCTGGGTTCAAGCGATTCTCCTGCCTCAGCCTCCCAGATAGCTGCGTCACCATGCCTGGCTAATTTTTGTATTTTCACTATGTTGGCCAGACTGGTTTCGAACTCTTGACCTGGTTCAAGTGATCTGCCTTCCTCGGCCTCCCAAAGTGCTGGGATTATAGGCGTGAGCCACCACACCTGGTCTCACTTTTTAAAAAAAATTTATCATGGGGCACATATTTCAAAAAGCGGTGACAAACACACTTCCTAGTCCATGAGTTATAAAACTGAAAGAGGCAGCAGGCTGCTGTTACCTGTGGCTGGGATTTCACCTTCCTCCTGCTCTCCTCACCCCTACAACCTTTGCTTCCTGCTTTACTAGCACCTAAAGCAGCTGTGGCGCTCCCCCTTCCTCATCCCCAAATCACCCAAAGTCTGGAAGCCCCACAGTGAGTATTTAAACCTTTAAGATCAATGTTCTGAATGCTGCACAGATGCCACAAAAAGGTTATATAATGTTAGAATCATTTAGAAGTAATTTATTTCCAATACTGAAACATATAAAATATAATTAGATATGTGTAATAAAATGTGAGAAACTTCACATTGAGAAGAACTAGTTTGAGAAAGTGATAAAGATTTCCACTATTTTGGAAGAGGGCACTTTTTGATTATGATAGGACATGTCATTTGGCAGAAATTTCATCTTTAAAACACAGAGAGGGAGGCTTTTCTGTCAGATACGGCTAATAACTGAATCCTCATCCATAAAGGACATTAACAAGATAAAAACCCACACAAACTAACACATCTGTTGATGCCACACATCCCACAGTCTGGCTGGAGGAGGCGCCTCTCACAAATAGAGGAGGAATATTCTCTACCTGACATGCACAGAAATATTTAACAGAAGGTTGCCGGCTCATCAATGCTGAAATGGGTGCAAATAAGGATGCCATGCATAAGTTTATTTCTTTTCCTATTTGAGGTCTAAAAGAAAAGAATTAGGCCAGGCACCGTGTGGCTCACACCTGTAATCCCAGTACTTTGGGAAGCTGAGGCAGGAGAATTACTTGAGGCCAAGAGTTTGACACCAGCCTAGGCAATATAGAGAGACCCCGTTACTGTGAAAAATAAAAAGCTGGGTGTGGTGGCGCACACCTGGGGTCCCAGCTACTCAGGGGGCTGAGGTGGGAGGATTGCTTGGACTCATGAGGTCAACGCTGCAATGAGCTATGATTGCACCACTGCACTCCAGCCCCGGCTATAGAGTGAGATCACCCGTCTTCACTAAAAAAAAAAAAAGAAAGAATTTTTTAACCCCCTCCACAAAAAACCTCAGAGATGCTGAGCAAGCTGAGTAGGGATTTAATTTTTTTTTCTAACTTGAAAGTCTGCTGCTTTTGTACGCTACATATCTCTTGGGTATTTAATTAAGATAAGTAAAGGCATTTACCACTCTTTTTACTATTCCATAATGATCATGAGTAATGTTTTTATTGTCAGCCAACAAGGCCAGCACCAAATAAACTGATACTGTTCGAATACAATGCACTTTGCCCCTGGAGTATGCTTCCAAGGGAACCTTACCTGGTGCTCCCGTGTACATGATGGAAAAGACATTGATTGCTATGGTAGCAGCATAGAATACTGGGAGTGCCCGGAGGCCGTTGGGAACAGGGTCTTCCTGTGGGACAAGGACAGAGTGGGAGGTCAGGATCCCAGCAGCATTTGGAGCCAACACAGACAAAATGATACAAAATACTGTTACAAGAAAGTCTTCCCAAACCCCAGTGGGGCCGTCTCTCCCACACAAATGCAGTGTCAATGAGCCCACTGTTGTGGCCAGCGGACACATTAAGCACTGGAATCACATGAGCTGATGTCAGACTTCAAAACAGAAAAAAACTATTAGGTTAAGCCGGTTCCGGAGGACCAAAGCCCAGAGCTGGGCATCTCCTTCTTCAAAACCCACAGCATTCACTACGCGGAGTCCAGCTTTGGCCCTAACTGGCTACATTCAACAAATAATCTGAGATTCAACCTCCAAGGATCCTCTAACAGAGTCAGATGACTTCAGCATCACTGCATTACCATTAGATTTTACAACTCTATTACACAATGCATGTCAGCTATGTTACCATGTGCTATGATTTTCTGAGTCTTTTCACAAGTATAGTATTTAGCCTTCAACTATTAGAAGTTAAAAAGAACTGTGGTTCCTTATCAAATAATTTATTCGACATTCGTCATCTATTTACTAATTTAGTCTTCTGCTACAACACTCCCTAAATCTAATAACTTCAACAAGAATGGTATTGTGCATGTTTTAGGTTAAACAACATCTGAGAGAATATGAGAAATTTCGTTTTTAGCAGATATGCAGAGAATTTTGAAGTAAAAACATGGGCCAGGAACTCCCATCAATGTAGCCCTGGCACACAATTGTGGCTCAAATAATCCAAAAAGGGACTAACTTCTAATAACCACAAAGGTCACACGTACATGAACATGCTACTTGCTGTGATCAAAGGAAATTAGGTCTAAAAACCGGTAAGAGCTGCGGAAGTATGGGTAAGCATCTCAAAGACTGCGACTGCCAAATGCAAACACACATGGATGTCAGGTATGTTTGCAGAACAGCACAGCCCATCAAGGAGCTGTTCTGGAATGTCTCAAGGAGCCAAGAGCACCTGTCAAGAGGCTGGAGTTGAATGCAGTGAGGCGTGAGGTACAGTCAGAGCAGGACAGAATGAGACTCAAGTGTGGGAGTGTCACACCGGACCAGGCGGGAGAGGAAGACAAGTGGCAAACATTGAGATGAATGAGCCGGAGCCCGGCATGAGCGACACAGCCAGTTATGATCATCTGTGATATATCAAGTGAAAAGAACCCAGGCTGAACTGAAAACAAAATGCTGGAGCCTCAATGCCTACAGCCTCTGGTTTCCAAAGCATTGTTTTCTTAGGGACAACAGTTGCTGAAGAGAGGTTCCCAACCAACAGCTTCTGTAGTAGACAGCCCTGAGTCTGTGTTTTTAATTAAATCACTGTATGTTTTCTCAAATAACTTAGTTTTTTTTCTGAGATGGAGTCTCACTCTGTTGCCCAGGCTGGAGTACAGTGGCACGATTTTGACTCACTGCAACCTCCACCCGCCATGTTCAAGGGATTCTCCTGCCTCAGCCTCCCGACTAGCTGGGGCTACAGGTATGCACCACCACACCCAGCTAATTTTTATATTTTTAGTAGAGATGGGGTTTCGCCACATTGGCCAGGCTGGTCTCAAACTCAAGTTATCTACCCGCCTTGGCCTCCCAAAGTTCTGGGATTATAGATGTGAGCCACCGCACCAGGCCTAAAATAACTTATTCCTAAAAGTCCTCGACAGACTTCTTATTTGACCTGTCTCCTTTCTTCCCTCCACTTCCTTTCTCTCTCTCCCTTCCTTTTTTGCATCTATCCATCCCTCCATCATCGCCACCCATCCAAGCATCTATTACTCCCTCCTCCTAAATATTTACCAAGTGTCTTGTAAGTGCTAAGCACAGTGCTGGGCCCTGGAATACAGAAGTGGCCAAGGCAGTCATAGTTTCTGCTCTCACAGATCTTACAGTCAAATAGTGAACATGTAATAAGCAAGAAACTAAGTGCCGCGATGGGAAGGTAAACTGAGGCAGGCACTCAAAAGAGAGGGCATCAAGTGAGTCTGGGGGAGGGGAGGAGAGGAGTGGCTTCCTAGGAAGTGACACCTGAGGGCTGAGTAGGGCTTGCCAGGTGAGCACAGATTCCAGGGACAGGAGGGGAGGGGTGACGGCTGGCAGGCTAGGGAGGAGCGTGCCTTCCGAGATGTGAATATGATCATAGCTGGTCCCAGGAGAAGGAAGGGTGAGAAATGGTGACGGCAACTTCCTGTTCTCTGAGAGAATGAACTCTTCAACAGATGGACAAGCAAGGCTTGTGAGAAAAGGGCTGAGCTTGCTTCCAAGCAAGATACAGCCTGGAGGGCACGTCCCTGCCTGCAGAGGAAGCAATGGTTATCAAACACTGCAGCAGCCCCCTGACTGCCAAACAAAAAAAGAGAGCCACGTTTCGTGTCTAGAACACTGATCTCAGTAAGCGCTAACTTTTTTTTTTTTTTTTGAGACGGAGTTTCACTCTTGTTACCCAGGCTGGAGTGCAGTGGCGCAATCTCGGCTCACCGCAACCTCCGCCTCCTGGGTTCAAGCAATTCTCCTGCCTCAGCCTCCCGAGTAGCTGGGACTACAGGCGCGCGCCACCATGCCCAGCTAATTTTTGTATTTTTAGTAGAGACGGGGTTTCACCTTGTTGACCAGGATGGTCTCCATCTCTTGACCTCATGATCCACCCGCCTCGGCCTCCCAAAGTACTGGGATTATAGGTGTGAGCCACCGTGCCCGGCCTAGCGCTAACTCTTTTTTAGGTAAGATGCACCCAGTAGGTATATTTCCTTCTTTTTATCCTTTCTTCAAATTGAGTCGGTGTTTCAAGCTTGCTTTCTCCATTAAAAGAAAAATAGAAAAACACCTTCACATTTGGGTAAGGAAACTCTCCAGCTGTTTTTTAATGACAGTTTCAAAATCTTAACACTATCTCATTCTATTCTGTTTAACATTCAGGAAATAATTACCTTTCCTTTTTGAGGTCTCAGCACAATTCCTGGGAGGGTTGACTAATGAACTAAAGCACAGAGCCAAGAAACACTATTTGCAGTGCTTGTTTCTGGGGGAATCTCTGGGCAATTTACCTTGGCTCTTTCTGGTTATTTATAATAATATCCGATGCTAACTGCAGGGTGCTGCGCCTGAACAATGTATAAATACAATTATTCCTCTAACGCCTTTCATTATTAATTTCTACTAAATAAAGCCAAAACCAGTTCTTAAGATTAATTAAAAGTAGAAGCCCCACTTACCTTTTTTAAGATGAAAATTCTGATGAGTACAAACAGCAGGCCAGACATCAAACCAGACAACAGTGGAGATATAAACCAAGAAGCAACTGAATAATTAAAAAAAAATCTAATGAATGTTAAAATTCATCCATAATTATGGCCATATTCATAGAACACAATGATAAACAAAATGTATTACATACATTCATAAATATCTCCAGAATTATTTACCTTTAATTCGGAACCTAACGCACCCTTGTGACTTGGCAGAGCTAACCTTTACTCATCTATGGCCACACTCAGACACCAACACAGAGTCAGGCACCGCTGACCACACCGCCAGTGCAGAGTCAAGGAACTCTGGCCCCGAGCTCTGGCCTCAGAAGGCATCGTCCTGAGTGCTGCCACCCATGGAGTCTTTCTGCCTGCCCTTCTTATCAACACATATGGAGACTCGGTCGCTGTTCCAACAGTAAGGGTTATTTAAGAGCTGGGCCAACTTCCACTTCCTTTGCCAAGGCCAGCCTGGTACTTTCACTCCTGCCGTCTAACTGCTGAAACTCGGAAACTTTTAGCCTCTAGCTAAGTGGCTCCCACCTCTGACTGCACAGTGGAACCATCTGGGGTGTTTTCAAAAACTAGTTTGGCTCTGTCTGGACCCCCAGAATTCTGATTTAAAAGGTTGGGAATGGGGTCTGGGCATTGGTATTTTAAAATCACTTTCCCAGGTCATTCTAAAGTGCTGCCAGAGTTGAGAACCACTCTTCTAGAAGCCTGGGGTGGAAGGTGGGTTCCCCTGTGGTCTGTGCCCCTGCCTGGCAGGTCAGGGGTCCAGTTTGACCCAGGACTCTTAAGGCCATCATGATTCTTGTAAAAAACTGAGTAACCCAGGAGATGGAGATGGAGTGAAAGAGTATCTTTCACAATGGATGGGTTGGTACTTGTGGAGTTGAATGGATTTACCTCTTGCTAAAAGCAGAGCCAGGCACTAACTTGTTGGACCCCAGCGAATAGGTACAGGCTTATGTGCTTGGTCCCTGCTGGGCAGGCTTACAAGGTAGAGAGGATACTCGGTAGAGTGTTTCTTCCCAAAGGGCAATCTGGATGACTTCTTTTCTTTTTCTTTCTTTCTTTTTTTTTTTGAGACAGGATCTCACCCTGTCACCCAGGGGCTGGAATGCAGTGGCACAATCATGGCGCAGTGCAGTCTCAACCTCCCAGGCTCAAGTGATCCTCCCACCTCAGCCTTCTGAGTACCTGGGACTACAAGTGTGCACCATCACACCAAGCTAATTTTCTTTTCTTTTCTTTTCTTTTTTTTTTTTTTTAAATAAAGATGGGGTCTTGCTATGTTGCTCAGGCTGGTCTTGAACTCCAGGGCGAAAGCAATCCTCTTGCCTTGGCCTCCCAAAGTGTGCAGATTACAGGCCTGAGCCACTACACCTAGCCTGGATGATCTGTTGAATGCAGGGAGGGGCATAACACGGGGCTCACTCTGAGGCTTCTCCAAGACTCTGCACTCCTGGATTCCAGGCACCTTCCTCACTTGTGCCCAGTCTTTCTCTGACCGACAGACTGACTTCAGTCAAATACATTTCTTAAGTGTCTGGGAAGAACAGAGGGTGATCTCCAAAGCTGGATGACAATGTAACATTTTAAAAGATTAGAGTTGGGCCGGGCGCGGTGTCTCATGCCTGTAATCCCAGCACTTTAGGAGGCCAAGGCGGGTGGATCGCCTGAGGTCGGGAGTTTGAGATCAGCCTGACCAACATGCTGAAACCCTATCTCTACTAAAAGTACAAAAATTAGCCGGGCGTGGGGGTAGGCGCCTGTAATCCCAATACTCGGGAGGCTGAGGCAAGAGAATCACTTGAACCCAGGAGGCGGAGGTTGCAGTGAGCCGATATTGTGCCATTCCACTCCAACCTGGGCGACAGAGCAAGACTCTGTCTAAAAAAAAAGAATAGAGTTAAACAATTGTCTAGCAGATAATAGTTCACTATCTCCATTAACGGGAATTTTAAGGGAAAATGCATTACCCACACTATCTAGGTGTTTTTTTTTTTTTTTTTTTTGAGACACAGTGTCACTCTCTCACCCAGGCTGAAATGCTGTAGCACCAACTCAGTTCACTGCAAACTCCGCCTCCTGAGTTCAAGTGATTTTCCTGCCTCAGCCTCCCGGATAGCTGGGATTACAAGTACCTGCCATCATGCCCGGTTAATTTTTGTAGAGATGGGGTTGTGCCATGTTGGCCAGGCTGGTCTTGAACGCTTGACCTCAGGTGATCTGCCCGCCTCGGTCTTCCAAAGTGCTGGGAATACAGGCATGAGCCACCATACTTAGCCCATCTAGGTCTTTTTTTTTTTTTTTTTTTTTTTTTTTTTCTGATACAGAGTCTCACTCTGTTTCCCAGGCTGGAGTGCAGTGGCATGATCTCGGCTCACTGCAACCTTTGCCACACGGGTTCAAGCAATTCTCTTGCCTCAACCTTCCGAGTAGCTGGGATTACAGGCGCTAGCCACCGCACCTGGTTAATTTTTGTATTTTTAGTAGAGACGGGGTTTCATCATCTTGCCCAGGCTGCTCTTGAACTCCTGACCTTGTGATTTGCCTGCCTCCACCTCCTAAAGTGCTGAGATTACAGGCGTGGGCCACCACGCCCAGCCCCATCTAGGTCTTTTAAACCTTAACATTTGAAGAAAAAGATATAAAGGTAACTTGCAATAAAACTTACTCTAGAAAATGTAAATTTTCCTTCTTATAGGTAAAAGAAAATGGCAATTACCAATCTTGACAAGCTCCATCCACTGCACACCTTTGGTACCGATGGCGACCAGGGAGAATCCTATAGTAGAGCCCACAATGCAGTGAGTTCCTGAGATCGGAAGCCTCAGGAAGGATGCGATCAGCTGCCACACAGCGGAACCTATAGATTGAAGGACAAAAACCATCAGATGCAGAGTACAGAGGTGTAGACACCAAGGAAAGAAATCCAAATGTTCTCCATAACATCTCTCTGAGTTTCATTTTCTGTGAATTGTTTCTTTACAAAGTGCTACAGTCTGGATAAAAATCACTCAATTACTTTAGTTAAAGGAATACTTCTGCCTTCTTCAACAGAGAGGACAGGGATGATGATTATTTATTAATTTAATTTTTTTATTTTTTGAGGCAGGTCTGCTGTGCTGCCCAAGCTGGAGTGCCGTGGCCTGATCTTGGCTCACTGCAACCAGTGCCTCCTGGGTTCAAGCGAACCCATCTGGCTAATTTTTGTATTTTTAGTAGAGACGGGGTTTCACTATGTTAGCCAGGCAGGCCTTGAACTCCTAACCTCGAGTTATCCGCCTGCCTTGGCCTCCCAAAGTGTTGCTGTGATTACAGACGTGAGGCACTGCGCCCGGCCTGATTATGCATTTAAAGGCAAGTTTCCTGGTGCTACACACTGACTGCCCATGTCAGTTTTCAGTGAGGGTGCTGCAGAGGAACTCATTTTGGGCTGAAGTTTGGCCAAAACCAAGCAAGAAATTAAAGACTCGAATGAATACAGAAAGGCAAGAAAGGCAATGTACTGGGAAAATATTTTGTCCTAGTTATGCCTTATGGTCACATAATGAAAAGGACTACATATTGGATAGGTCAGATTATCTATGTAAGAGAGTGTAATATCATGTTGCTTTTTTTCTTTTTTATAGATAGGATCACACTCTTGCCCAGGCTGGAGTACAGTGGCACGATCATGGCTCACTGCAGCCTTAACCTCCTGGACTCAAATGATACTCCTGCCTCAGCCTCCCAAGTAGCTGGGACTACAAGTGTGCACTACCACACCTGGCTAATTTTTAAATTTTTTTGCAGAGATAGGAACTTGCTGTTACCCAGGATGGTCTTGAACTCCTGGACTTAAGCAATCCTCCTGCCTCGGCCTCCCAAAGCCCTGGGATTACAGGCATGAGCTGCCACACTCAGTCAATTTTTAAAATTTTTTGCAGAGATGGGTTCTTGCTCTGTTGCCCAGGATGGACTTGAACTCCTGGGTTCAAGCCATTCTCCCGCCACAGCGTTCCAAAGTGCTAGGATGACAGGCATGTGCCACGGCACCCAGCCCATACTGCTTTTTGATGGTGCCTCTCCTGTGAGAAATAACCAAGATATTTAATCCAAATTTGGGCATCTGCTGTCAGCCCCTGCCCAGAATGCTGGACCTTTTATTTGTGTGTCTGATTCCTCGTTGTTAAGAGGATCCCATTAGTGTTGGCTTTGTGTCCTTTGACCTCAATTTCACCAACTCTCTTCTAGGTTTAATGTTTTTCTAGGCTACAGTTCACTTCAGATATTTTCATAAGCAGATCAGATTTTGCAGTGAGTATTAAAAGCATCAGCCGGGAGAGATCACTTTCAGAAGCACTTGCTGAAAAGCTCCCATGGAACTGTAGGGGAACAAAGGGCCTGGCTGATAAGCTGGGCACGTTATTAATCCCAAATGTTAATTCTGGAAACCGGGTTGCCTGGCAGCAGCAGCACTGTTCAGGGGACCCCTGGCATTTCCTTCAGAGGCATCTGAGTTGCAGGAGGATCATTTAGGGCTGTGCAGGTCCCCATCTATGAAGCAATACATGCAGCTGCTCCCATGTGCGCTGGGCGTGCTGACCTTTGAGCTGAGGCCAGCTGTGACCCCGTGTCAATCCCTGGGGCGTGCATTGGGAGGAGAAGGGGCCAGCCTTGTGCTGCCAAACCCGTATCGGGCTCCATGACAGCACCAGGCCTAACCCGCAGACACGTCCTTAAGCCTCCACATCTGAGCCCTGGGCTCCTCGGAGACCAGCGGTTTAAAAAAAAAAAAAAAAAGCCAGGGTTTGGAGCATGTTTCATAGCACAGATTCATAGCTTAGAAAATATATGATATGGTTTCTATTCTGACAATTAAAATAATCTCATGATGTGAGACAATGCTACCAACCCACACCATTGAATTTAGATCATGAAATTTGTCCTTCCTGAAAGCTGCTATATTTCCTGTGGTTGACTTTACAAAATATACCCTGGAGCAGGAGAGTCTGTAACGAAAGGTAGGGAGTAATGGGACCACCTGTGAGAGGGAAGAAGGGGAGAGGGCAGCAGGGAGACGAGGAGAGAGGGGGCAGCTGAGGGAGGGACAGGTGGGGCCAAGGCCTGGGAGTAGGTGAGAGAGCCTTAGCCTCAGGGGTGTCTGAAGATAAATGAGATCAGTTAGCGTTGGGAAAAGACATACTTTAATGTATGGTAATGGCATCCGACAAGGAGGAAAGAGATGAAGCACGGGATAAGGCTGCAAGACTGGACCTAGGGAAAGTGGGGAGATGGGCATCTCGGAGGCCGCCTTTCCCGTGTGGATGAAAGGGCGCCAGGGAGGCAGCCGGGCAGGGGTGAGGTGGTGCAGAGTGTGGCTGGGCAGAGGGAGCTGAAGGGGGGCGTGTGCTTCTTAAGGGGTTGGAGGAGCTGGCTCATTTGTGCTAGTGTGGTTCTTTCCAAAAGAAGATGCAGAGTTTTGAATTCTCAGATTTTTGGAGCCATTGGTGGTTTCCCACAGAATGGACAGACTACTGCTGTAGGGCTGAGCTAGTCCCGCAAGATGACTTGCTCAGGACGATTCCGGTGGCTGCTCAGCCACCTTAACTCAAACACAACTCTGTCAGGAAGCACAGAGGCCCAGGGGCTGGGGGGAGAAGCCACTGAAAGAGAAAACAAAAGAAGCAAGTAGAATAGAATTAAGGAGGGGGGGGAGTGGGGGAGTGGGGGGGTGCGGGTGAGGGAGTGGGGGGGGTGCGGGTGGGGGGAGGGAGAAGGACAAAAGGCCTGCTGGATTTAGGAGAGGAAGACTGCAGAATTCAGGCATCTGGACAGCATCAGCTGTGGTTTTGGCCAATGGGTAATTACACCACCATCTTTAATTTATGTAGCTCCCAGGGCAAAGAACCTGATTTTACGAATCTAGGTAACTCATACAAATTCGCAAGAAAATAGGCTTTGAGATTCATCTAGCCACATACCCCCCAAAAATGTTTAAAAACCCAAAGCAAACAAAACCAAGTTATTCAAGCAAAACCCCAAACTGCTTTGGTAAACCCAAATTCTAGTTGAGGTAAGTATCCTTCATTCTTTCAGTAAAGAGCCAAAGGCCTGGGGTGGGGAACTGAGAAACGAAACAAGTTATCCTGTCTGTAGGAATAGTGAGCCCTCTAGCCTCACAGAGGTCTTCAGTGCGGCCTCACTAACAAATTTAATAAGCAGCGCCATTCCTTTAAAGTTTATCCATCAAAAGGCAAAACTTTAGTTAAGATTTAATTTTGGGGCCGGGCGTGGTGGCTCACACCTGTAATCCTAGCACTTTGGGAGGCTGAGGCAGGCATATCATGAGGTCAAGCGATGAAGACCATCTGGCTAACATGGTGAAACCCCATCTCTACTAAAAATACAAAAATTAGCTGGGTGTGGTGGCATGCGCCTGTAGTCCCAGCTACTTGGGAGGCTGAGGCAGGAGAATAGCCTGAACCCGGGAGGTGGAGTTTGCAGTGAGCCAAGATCACAACACTGCACACCACCCTGGCGACAGAGCAAGACTCCGTCTCAAAAAAAAAAAAAAGGCTTAATTTTAGGCCAGGCACAGTGGCTCACCCCTGTAATCCCAGCCCTTTGGGAGCCCAAGGTGGGAGGATCATGAAGTCAGGAGCTTGAGACCAGCCTGACCAACATGGTGAAACCGCATCTCTACTAAAAATACAAAAATTAGCTGGGCGTGGTGGTGGGAGCCTATAATCCCAGCTACTCAGGAGGCCGGGGCAGGAGAATCACTTGAACCTGGGAGGCAGAGGTTGCAGTGAGCCGAGATCATGCCACTACGCTGCAGCCTAGGCAACAGAGCAACTCTGTCTTGAAAAAAAAAAAAAGATTTAATTTTGTCAGTGTTTTTCTTGATTCGTCCCATACTTTCAACACATCTAGTCAAGTTTTCTTGACTAGAAAAGTCTTAATTTCTGCTTGATGGAACTAGATATCTATCACAACTATCAAGGATGAATTTTACAACAAATGGTTATTTTTCCAAGGGAAATTTCCATTATATCTGACTACACTTAGATGTCTATGTTTCATGAAGATAAGTAAAATTCAATAATGACTATAGTTGTTAAAATAAAAGTGATCTGGAATCTGATTTTTTTTTTTTTTTTTTTTTTGAGACAGGGTCTGGCTGTGTCGCCCATGCTGGAGCGCAGTGGCATAATCACAGCTCACTGTAGCCTCAACCTCCTGGGCTCAAGCAATCCTCCCACCTCAGCCTCCCAAGCCACTAGGACTACAGGCATGTGCCATCATGCCCAGCTAATGTTTTAAATTTTTTGCAGAGACAGGGTTTCCCTATGTTGCCCAGACTGGTCTGGAACTCCTGGGCTCAAGTGGTCCACCCATCTTGGGGGCCTCCCAAAGTTGAATATGACATCTTTACAACACAAATCGTCAAGCTGAGAAATAGGAGCTCCCTGGCATATGTTACTGACCTATAGTGCGTGGTGAATAATACACCATAGTACACCAGGCTGCTTCTGATCAGATGCATCGTAACAAAAGGAGATTGGGCCATTGTAAACTTGGTCAATAATCTCTACATTCTGGGTGTTTAAGAAATGCAAGTGACAGGCTGGGCATGGTGGCTCATGCCTGTAATCCCAGAACTTTGGGAAGCCAAGATGGGTGGATTGCTTGAGGTCAGGAGTTCAAGACCAGCCTGGCCAACATGGTGAAATCCCATCGCTACTAAAAATACAAAAATTAGGCATAATGGTAGGTGCCTGTAGTCATAGCTACTCTAGAGGCTGAGGTGAGAGAATCACTTGAACCTGGGAGGCGGAGGTTGCAGTGAGCTGAGATCACACCACTGCACTCTAGCCTGGGCCACAGAGCAAGACTCCTTCTCAAAAAAAAGGAAAAAAGAAAAGAAACACAGGTTACAAAATAAAGAAGTCGGGGGTCGTGGAATGTGGCTGTATTCTCAGTACACCAGCATCTTACCTCCTGCTGCAGGACTCTTCCTACAAGAGGATATGTCCTGTGGAAAGCAGAAGGTGGTAGAATTCCTCTCTAACCCTCTTCTCCCTAACCAAATTACCCGTACACATCAGCTGTCTGTTGTGCCGTCATCTCTACCTAGAGGCAAGCAGAGAAAGAATCCTGTCAGCTGCACTTAACGCACGCCTGCCCAGAAGCTTCTTTTCTGTAGTAGTGAGCGTGGTGATGGGAGGACCTACGGGGCCGGGATCTGTGTCTACCTAGGCCATGGGGAAATCACTCTGACCAGCCAGCCACTCTGATTATTCACACAGTTCACGCATCTCCACACTTCATCTAGACAACTTAAAACCGCAATAAAAGTCATGCTATCACAGGCAACACGTATATTATTTTTTTGGGCGGAAGACAAAACAAACATACCAAATGGAGTTCCCAGAGGTAGAATCAGAAAATCAAAACAAAAGCCAACGAAAGGATGACAAAAAATATAAAAGACCAGAATTTCTTGAAACACAAGCACTTAAGATTTATTTGGTAACTTCTTTAGAACTTAAACTGAGAATATAAAAGTTAGATAAACAAATATTAATTTTGACGTCTAAGTTTTCAAAACATTGCCTCCTAATTGATGAAAGACCTTAAGAAAAAAATCTAAATCAACCTTCCTGGGACTTTCATACGTCGACCTTGAAAACACATTCACTCAACCTTGGAACAACTCTAAAATAATAAAGCGCTATTCTACAAAGATCTATTTTATACTTTCTGAAAAGTGTTGACTTAGCTGAAATCTATTTTACCAACCAAGTTTGCTAAAAAGTTGAGAAAATAAATGGTTGCCTGATATTTAAACACTTTAAAACTTTCAAAATCATAAATTAGTACGCAGAAAGCAAAAATAAGAGAGTACATATGAAACATCCAACCCGTTTTTGAAAAGCCAAAGGAAAAATCACATTTATGGATACGAGCAAAGTACTGTAGGGAAGCGGGTCAGCGGGCAGATGTCCCATCGGTGTAGACGAGAGGCTACTCACCAACCATGGCACTCACTTCCCCAGCCATGAGCGTCTCCACCGTCTCGTTGTACAGGTTCACGTCAATGATACCTTTGCGAATCGTTTCTCCTACTTTGGCTCCTAGTAACACGGAGCCGGTAGTTTCAAATATTGAAGCTAAAATGCACGCCTGCCTCAAGGTCACCACACCAGAGCCCACGGCTGTACCAAAGGAGTTGGCAACATCGTTTGCACCAACAGAAAAGGCCAAGACGAAAGCTATGATGAAGCCCAGAATGACCATCCACAAATACTCATCCATGGCCATTTTGGAAAGCGGGTGCCAGGTACTTTTCTTTTGCAGGAAGATTTTAAATAAACAAAGCTTGAGGTTATAAACTTCGTAAGGCCAAGAGTTCTTGTAAACAGTGAGTTTGCGCTGGAAAGTGCTGGACAGTGTTAGAGGCTGGACGAACTGCTAGCTGCTGGTTTTCAAACTACTGTCAGGACAGTTCATTTGGTTGTGTTCAGTCAGCAGTAAAACACATTCCATATTTTTCCTCCCAGTCTGGGAAAGCTGTGATGTCTCCTCCTGTAGCAGAAAGGAAACAAAAGACATCAATTATACTCAGCAACCTGTAACAGTTCGTTCTTTCAGAAATAAATGTTTTAAGCCTGCTAATGGGATCTAACTTTGGCATGTGACGGGCCTGACCATAACACAATTCAAGAAAGCTTATAATGAGGATAACCACCTCCAACCAAAATCAACAGAAAAACCTGCTTTCTAGAATTTCAGGAGTTGAAGCATGCTTAATAATCACAAATAGTCATCCTTACTAGGTTACGTTTTTATGCAATTGGAAAAACATATTTGGTCATTATTTTCAGAGAGGAACAACGGTCTCAAATGAGCAAAAGATTAAGAAATGAGAAATATAGTTGCATGGGTTTTCAAATATGTGGAATGTGCCCAGTTTCCGGGAACATCGATAACCAAATCAGTCTGTGACACCGCCAGGTGTGGCCAACCACCCACCTGCACATTTACGTGTAAGCAACACACACAGTGTATTATCATGCATGTGTCTGGGGGAGTTTACAGGCCTGGCAAGAGGTCACTCATCTGAAGGGTGACAAAGGCAGGAACTGAAGGGCCCCACAGAGGAACAGAGAAACCTAGACAGCGAGGCAATCCTGTCACGATGCCACTATCTCATCCCACTAGGAGGAAAAGCTAGGTGTCCCACCAGGGCCAGGGAGACCCTGTAGGCCTCCCCAAAGCTCAACTGGCCTCAGCCCCTCTCCCCTCCCCCACAATGCCCTAGTGTCACTGTCCTTTTGCAATCCCTTGGAAACACCAGGCACACTCTCACCTCAGGGCTTTTGCACCTGAGGATCCCTCTGCAGGAAGAATCTTCCCCCACAGCTGCACAGCTCCCCACTCCCTGCATTCAGGTCCCTGCTCAAATGTCACCATCAAGAGAGGTCTCCCCTGACCCCAGAAGGAGCAGTCCCTCCCCCACACCACTGCTCCTGCTTCTGGGAGAGGAGATGCCACAAGACACATCCATGAAATAAAAATGTCACTGCATGCTTCATAATTATGGTATTCTATTATTGGAGAGCCAAGGCACTGTATATGTTTTTTGAATGGCATCAGGCATATAGAGTGGTATAGTCTTCATAAATGCTTATTGAGTCGAACTGAAAAAATATCACACCATATACAATATAACAATTTGACCCATCGATAAGGTTATTTAAAGGGAAAAAACAGGACACACAATTTTATGTACACTGTGGTTGCGGCAATGTTGAAAATGCATATAAAAGACCGGGCATGGTGGCTCATGCCTGTAATCTCAGAACTTTGGGAGGCTGAGGTGGGTGGATCACTTGAGGTCAGAAGCTTGAGACCAGCCTGGCCAACATGGTGAAACCCCATCTCTACTAAACATACAAAAACTAGCTGGGCCTCGTGGCACATGCTTGTAATCCCAGCCACTCGGGAGGCTGAGGCAGAACTGCTTGAACCTGGGAGGCAGAGGTTGCAGTGAGCCAAGATCATGCCACTGCACTCCAGCCTGGGTGACAGAACAAGACTCCATCTTAAAAAATAAATAAATTAAAAATAATAATGTAAATAAAAATGCCAAAGGGTAAATATACCAAAATTACAACAGAGGTTGAGCAGTAATGTGATAGATGACTTTCTCCCTTTCCTCCCTAAACTGTATGCTGTGGTTACATGCTTTTCAAATGAAAATAATATATAATAAACAAATCTACAAATGTATTGAGCATCATTGATGTGCAATGCTACAGGCACACAATGAAACAAAAAATATACAGGTCTGATCGTTTCTAAGATTTTTTAGCCTGTGCAATTTTGGAGATTCAGCTCTCAAGTGAGACAAATGAAAAGACCACTCTAAAGGCAAAAGACAATATTCCACTGAAAGAGCGTTTTATTAATCTGACAGACACACTAAATCTATGCATGAAAACCAAAACTTTAAACACTGAGGGCCAGTATGATCTATCTCAAGATATAAACAAATTATTGATAAAATCTTGTTGGCCAGGCTACCTTGCCAATAGGGCAAACATGAATAATATTCAATTATTGACCGAGAAATATGGAATGAACAAAAATGGATGTGGTCCTGGCACATCTTGGAAGTCCAGTGAAGGAAACAGACATGAATCGTATCAACACACAAATCTCTATAAACTGGTGACAAGAACTATGCAAGCGGGAGACGGCGCCACACAGAGTCGTAAGAGCACGGCTGGCGGGACCTGGTCCAGCAGGTGGCAAAGGCTCACCTGAGACCTCAGACAGCCAGAGTCACTCTGGGCCTGGTGTGGGGTGGGGGGCACTCATTCCAAATGGTTCTCATGGTGGGAAGGAGGGGCCTGGAGGCAGACCAGGGTGTGGGGAACCAGGATGAAGCTTGGGTGGATCTGGTTAAAGACTGGCCACCACGTGGACAGTGGGGTGCCACTGAAGGGTTTTAATCAGAGAGGGGTGTTGGCATGACCAGACTTGGTTTTTTGGCCTGTTTTCTTTTTTTTCTTGCTCTGTCACCCAGGCTGGAATGCAGTGGCACAAGCATGGCTCACTGCAGCTTAACCTACCAGGCTCAAGCACTACTCCCGCCTCAGCCTTCTCAGTAGCTGGGGCTACAGGCGTGTGCCACCATATCCTGCTAATTTAAAAATTTTTTCTAAAGATGGGGTTGCCCTATGCTGCCCAGGCTGGTCTCAAACTCCTAGGTCAAGTGACCCTCCTGCCTTAGCCTCCCAAAGTACGGGGATCACAGGTGTGAGCTACCATGCCCAGCCCAGACTCAGCAATTTTTCTTTTGTTTTTGAGACAAAGTCTCACTCTGTTACCCAGGTTGGAGTACAGTGGTGCGATCTTGGCTCACTGCAACCTCTGCCTCCTGGATTCAAGCGATTCTCCTGCCTCAGCCTCCTGGGTAGCTTGGAGTACAGGCACCCACCATTATGCTAATTTTTAAATATTTTTGTAGAGACAGGGTTTTACCACGTTGGCCAGGCTGGTCTTGAACTCTTGACCTCAGGTAATCCACCCACCTTGGCCTCCCAAAATGCTGGGATTACAGGCATGAGTCACCACACCTGGCCCAGAAGATCCTTCTGGCTGGCTGCAGTGTGGAGACCACATTAAATAGAAGGCAAGCGGGAACATGGAGGACGAGTCAGAAGCCCGTTGCGTGGTTTAGGCTTGAGAGGAGGCATCTGGGACCAGGGTGTGGACAGTGATGGGTTGGAGGGAATACGATGATATAAGAGAACTACAGCGGCAAAATCCAACAGGACCAGGTGGTGGATTAAACACGGGGGTGGAGAGAGGATACATGGCTTCTGGAACTGAACTGAAAAATAACTGGGTGGGTTGTTCTTCTCTTTGCATTGTTTTTAGTTTTGTGTTTTGGGGCTAGGACAGGGTTTGACCATAGGCGGGCTTTTGACTGGGTGAAACTAGCTGGGTTTACTGTGCCTTAAAGGAGTCCCTTGCTGTTCACCTCGAATATGGCAGCGGCTGTACTACTGTACGTGTTGTCAAAACTCACGAAACTCACATAGATGAGCCACAGGAGCGCCGTGGATGGGAAGTGCGGGAGGCATGAACCCCCAGCAGCTTTGCCCTGGCCTGGTTTCACTTGGGGAGGTTGTTAATCACCTTGATATTCCCCTTGGCACGGTCTCTGCCAGGAGATCCCCTCTCCTACTTACCCAGTCTTAGACAATTCATTTCCACACTTGTGCCTATGCTCTGCTGCGTGGCTTTTCTCCTTCACATTCACAGCCTCAGCCCACCAGCCTAAGTCCAGCAAGCACCTGCCCGAGGAGGAAGGCTTGCCACCTTCTTTCCTCTCTGTGGTTACAAAAGGAACATTCGTTTCTCCTGCATGGAGAAAGGCAATGAGCACAGGACCTGCAGTCAGGGTCTCTGGGCCCATTCCTGTCCAGCCAGCTCCTGGCTCTGCAACCCAGGGCAAGTCACCTCAGTGACTCACCTAAACCATGGGGACTGGGACCACTGGTTACGTGCAAACGAGAAGGCCCAAGCTTCAATGCCAGCAATCAATACATGGTGACTATTACCATTCTTAGCAGATAAAGCCCTGGGGCAATGGTCGGGAAGCTTAAGTCCCCATTAAGGTTCTGTTCCTCTCTAGTGGCTGACCCTGGGTACCTCACACATACTTTTTGAATTGCAGCATCTATAAAATGGCGATAGTGATGGTGCATGCACTTTACAGAATTATTCTGAGGATCAAACTTAATTGGGTAGAAATTAAGTTTCGTCTCAAGCAACTTGAAGTTACTGGCATCACTGTAGTCACAGAAGAATAACAAATGAGAGGTCTCAGAATCCTTCTGGAAGGATCTTTCTTGGGCAGCCCTGTGCCCCACCCTCTTCCCAATCCTGTGGGTTTCCCCAGCCTCCTCCCTTAGACCTGCTCTTCTTCCTCAACACGCAGACTCTGGTCTTGTTTTTGGTTAAAGACTGAGAAACATTGTAAGGGATAGGGACTTTTTAAGGGATGAAGGGAGGTGAAGAGGTAAAGAAGAGGAACGCTAGAAAGGTGCTAAGAAAAAAACACTCAGCATGGTGAAGACACTTTGGAAAACTATTGGCAATTTCTTTTCTTTAAGATGGAGTATTGCTCTGTTGCCAGGCTAGAGTGCAGTGGCACAATCTTGGCTCAATGCAACCTCCATCTCTCGGGTTCAAGCAATTCTCCTGCCTCAGCCTCTGGAGTAGCTGGGACTACAGGCACGTGCCACCACACCCAGCTAATTTTTGTATTTTTAGTAGAGATGAGGTTTCACCATGTTGGCCAGGGATCGTCTCAATCTCTTGACCTCATGATCCGCCTGCCTCGGCCTCCCAAAGTGCTGGGATTATAGGCGTGAGCCACCTTGCCCAGCCAATTGGCAGTTTCTTTCTTTCTTTCTCTCTTTTTGGAGATGTAGTCTCACTCTGTCGCCCAGGCTGGAGTGCAATGGTGCGGTATCTGCTCACTACAACCTCTGCCTCCCAGGTTCAAG